AAATTAGACGTATCGCAATTGCTAATGAAGCGGGGATTTAAATCTCCCCCGCTTCATTAGCATAAAAATGGCTGCTGCTTTTTTCCGGCACTGAGCTTTGCCAGAGAAAAGCACCAGTCTAGACGCGGATCTTTCGGAAAATAAAGCCTTTTCCGAAAGATCCCTTATCCCTCTTAAAATATGTGTCCATTTCAATGGTGCAAAACATCTTGAACTTTAACAAAAATTGGGTGATTAGCTTTGATTTATAGCCATGATAGTGGATAAAACACATTTTCAACAGAAACAGATAACTGCTAGCTAGTTCAGTAGCACCTGGGGTAGCTCCACAGTGATACAGAGTGGACAGAATTTTTTTGCACAATAGGCTGAACAGGAGATGAACTTGTAATTCAAAGCAAATCCTGCAGGCCTCACTATGGTAAAACTCAGCTGTCCCCCCTGAACTGACCAGAGTGGCACTCAGTGTTACTGCAGGCAGGGTCCACATGCATGTGTGCACTTCCCTGCAACTTGGCAACATCTCCTCATAGAATTACTGCTCCTAACAGCTTTCCTGCTCACCCCTCGGGTAATTCAGGGCCTTAGCAGCAACACTAGGCATAAGGAATAGTTATGACAGGGAAGGAGAACATGAGTACACAAATATACTCTTTCAGCAGCACGTGGGCACCTGTCTGGGTCTCTCTCACAGACAGAATTGAGCTTTTGATTTTTTTTTTTTTTGAGTGACATATAGGTATTTCCTTGCTTTCCCATTAGGGAAATGCCTTCAGCGCAGATGTCTAAATGAATCGGAACAAGCCAAACACCCATAAAGCCTAAAGTGTAACATGCTACTTCTGGACATGTTTTCAATTAGCAGGTCTGATTTTAAACATGCTGCTTGACCACAATACTGGGAAAGGCCCTCAAAGATTAGCTCACCCTGCTGCGCTTAAGTAGACAGAAGAAAATACCTCTCAGCTCATTACTGTAATTTATTCACTAGCAATAAATCTGTAGTTGTCCATCTTGTAGATTGATGGCTGTCAATTAGTCCGCAAATGCAGGACCTGAAGCATATACCCTGCAGAGAAACAGCACAAAACACAACACATGCTTAGCCCCAGGTATGATCCAGCAAAGGGCAGAATGTCCTGAAATGAGACAATGGATAATTAAGCTTCTTTTGTGAGGTGCTGATCATCAGCCCTGACTGCAAGATACTGGATGAGCTTAGCAATCACACACAGAGAGTTTTTCTTTCCTTTGCATTTAGCCACGTGTTGAGTATTCCATCTGTCACTTAAACATAACTAAAACTAATATTCAGCACGTGGACCTTTCTGGCAGTTTCTGCAGAAGTCAACAGCACAAAAAGCATTCAAGAACCCATCTATTACATTTTCTCAAAAAACAAACAAACAAAACCAACATCCAAACGGGTCTTTTCTCTTTTGACTTTATCTGAGGTCTAATTTAGGTCAGGATCTCTATTAGTAGCTATTTCTGGTATTTGACTGTTGGCTAATTATTTGTAATTGCTGCTGCTGTACCTAAGATTGAGAGTGAAAGAAACTTGTCATGGTGCCTGGTCCTTCTTCACTCTGATTCCAAGACAGGAGAGTGAGAAACTTTTCAGTTGTTATATGGTCTTTTATCTGTGTCAGGGGCACATTTTAGGTACATAAGCTCAGTTAGCAAAACTACCCTATTCCAGGAGATTGTCTTGGTTATGACAGTCTTGAAGCCCACTGAGATGGAGGGCCATTCTTGCAGCCCACTCACTAGTCCAGGTTACCCGTCAATGCACTAGACCCATCGCAGCTAGGGTATATGTAGCTAGGCCTGACATATTGGTATATTTTTTGGAAACATGGTATTGGCACCTAACTGTGCCTAGGAAATGTGTTCATACTGGTAAAGCAAAAGGCACAAGCAGCACCAAATTTGGAATATATCCACCTTTAAGAAGTGACTTTAAGAAGTGTTGTGCAACCCAACTTAGCTGCAATCCAAATGGAACCTTATTCTCCTTTCCTGGGATAGATGAAATGCCTAGTAATGGTAATATGCATATGCCCTGAGAGGAGATTCTAGATCATGGGTTCCCAAACTAGGGGCTGTGAAGAAATTCCGGGGGAGGGAGGGGGGAGAGCTTGAGGTGACCCAGCTCCCCCCCCCCCAAGTTTCACTGCTATTTTTGTTTTTCGGCCCCGGTCAGTCCCTTTTTTTTTTTTTTGGCTCAAGTTTTGCTGCTGTTGGGGGGAGCTGGGTGGTGGTGGTGAGGGTTTCTCAAAAATCAAAAAGGGGGCATGATGCCGAAAAGTTTGGGAACCACTGATCTAGATGGTTGTACTTCTGCCTAGAAATAATCAAAGTATAGTGCTGTAAAACTCATTTGTAATCTTTAAGTCCAAAAGAGACCATTACATCATCTTTACTGACTTCCTCTGTAGTACAGGCCATGGAACTTCTCCCAGTAATTCCTCTATGTAGGCCAAGATGAGAGCCACAAGAACACACAAACACACATTGTAAGATGGCAAGCTTTAAAAGTTCTGAATTTGGAAGTAAAATAAGATAGTAGGAGGGCCAGCTTCACTATAAAGAGAAGCTGATCTTGCTATTGACTACAACAGGGATGTTTTTACCGCTCTGAAGAGCAGTGTTTTTGTTCAGTACCATGGGCAAAATGCCCCATGTAACTGCAGTTAATTAACAAATCAATGTTGGTTCTATAGCTTTGTGAAAAGAGCAGCAACTTCAGCTGTTAAAATTTCTTATTTTCTTCCCCTCAACACCCGGAATAGACAGTTTCTGTAAACAGCAGTGTGATCCTGTACAACAGCATTTAGACATCCTACTTACTAATTCCCTGCAGGGTGACTTCCATGGCACATGGGAAGCACATTCTTCAGCTGGCTTCCCATCTCCAGGACTGTAATATCAAACTTCATTTTAAATGTGCCTGGCCAGCATTCAGAGGAATACCACATACAGGAGATGCTCACATTAGGCCATTGTGTTTGAATTAGAACTCAGGGAAAGGGCTAAGAAAGCACAGGAGGTAGACTCATTGTGGTAGGTGGGGAGTGGAAGATAAAAGGGCCTCGGTGGGCTGAATTCAGCCCACCAACTTGGTTGATTCAGCCCACAGAAGCCCTAATCAGAGCCTAGGGATGGGGAAGCATGCAACACTTAGTCAACTGCCAAGCTTGACTCTTAAGTGCTGCACATCAGAGGGCAGGGAGTGAGAGACTTCACCCTCTCCCTGCCCCCAAGTGTATCAGGGAGTGTGCAAAGTCTGCTCCTGCCCTGCAAGGGGCTTGGCACTCAATCAACTGCCAGCTGCTGCTCTGCTGGTGAGTGACTAAACATGATGCTACCTTGCAGGGTGTGGGCAGACTTTGTGTGCTCCCCCTGCCTCATGGCCATGATTGACCTGCGCAGTGGCGCACGCAAAGTCTCCTCCCATTGCCAGGGGCATAGGTACCTAGAGGGAGCTGCCAGCTCTTCAGAACAGCTGGCAGTTCTCTTGTGGGTTGGGGGGCAGGAGACAGTCACACTCCCCCACCCACAGACTAATCAGGAGCCACTTCAAAAATTTCTAAAGTGGCCCCCAGCCAAAAATGATTGCCCACCCCTGTACTAGGCATTGCACAAACACTGTCAGATTTCACAGCAGGAGCCAGGGACTCTCTAAACAGATAATGTAACTGTGACCAGGTGGATTTGAACTTCTGGAGCTTAGGGTATGTCTAGACTACATGCCTCTGTCGCCAGAGGCATGTAGATTAGGCTACCAGACATAGTAAAATGAAGTGGCGATTTAAATAATCAAAAGGTATTTGTCGACCACCCAGGTATGCCTCCTGGGATGAGGTTTACTTGGGTGGTCGACAAATACCTTTGATGTCGACACCTACACGTCCAGACTATCGCGCTGAGCCGACAAACGGCTGATCAGCTGTTTGTCGGCTCAGTGCGGCAGCCATGTAAATTTAAATGAAGTGGCGATTATTTAAATCGCCGCTTCATTTTACTATGTCTGGTAGCCTAATCTACATGCCTCTGGCTTCCTGGAATCAGCCGCTGATCAGTTTCAGCAGCAGCTGACTTGGGGACAGCTGGGTTTCTTAAGTTGAATCTGTATGTAATTCAGAACTCGCGTCCAGATTCAGCCACGGTTGAAACTGATCAGTTTCAGCAGCGGCTGATGCCAGTTCCGACTTACATACAGATTCAACTTAAGAACAAACCTACTGTCCCTATCTTGTACGTAACCCAGGGACTGCCTGTAAAGAGTAATATATTGGCAGTACCAGTGTGTTAAAAGGCCACAAACTCTTCACCCCTCTGGGCTAAATATACAAATTAATAGATGGGAAATTACAGACAGAATTCTCTTCCTGCTCAAGATATTACTTCAGTGACTGCTCTCCAGAAATCTCCATGGTATTATTTCACATAACAAGGTCAGAACCAAGAAATTTGCTGAGATGATTAATTCTGTAGAGTGAAAGACATCTGCAACAAGAGCACATGCTGTTTTCTTTTGGCAAACTGTCAGACAATGGTATTCTTCAGCCATGTCTTAGAAGCAAAGGTCAAGCCAGTTCTGTACTCCTCTACAAATGAGTTTGACCACAGTGGTTGGCGAGAGTCTTTTTCTATATCTAAGAAAGCAGTGACATTTCATAAAAGTACATGGCACACAGATTTGCTGCCAAAATACGTGAGTGTGCACACAGTCCCTTGCCCTTTTGCTGAAGGGGAAGGCAGTAAAATATTAATGACCCTCATTTGTACCAGCTCAAATCAAGAAGTTTAGAGGCAAATGGTTATCCTCTAACTTCAGAATTACTGCCTTCAAACAAAGAATTAAGCCTTTTAAATATGGTACTTGCAATGGTCTGTTTTTCTATAAATGGAGCAGTGGGAATTAACCTAGTAAATAAAAAGGCAACTAGCGTCTCCAATATATACTGAGTTATTTGTGTCTGTTTTCTTTTTAGTTGGAGTTGTCTAATACAGCGATCCTTCATCAGATTAGGAGAGATCAAGTCACAGATACATGTCGAGCCAACAGCATGTCTAGCAGGAAACGCCGCGTGCTGACACCCAATGATCTCAAACATTTGGTGGTGGATGAAGATCATGAAATGATCTATTGTTATGTACCCAAAGTGGCCTGTACAAACTGGAAGAGAGTCATGATGGTCTTGACAGGACGGGGCAAATACAGTGACCCCATGGAAATACCGGCCAATGAAGCCCATATATCCTCAAACCTGAAGACCCTCAACCAGTACAGCATTCCAGAGATCAACCACCGCTTAAAAAGCTACATGAAGTTCCTGTTTGTCCGGGAGCCTTTTGAGAGACTGGTGTCAGCGTACAGGAACAAGTTCACCCAGAAGTACAACACCTCCTTTCACAAGAGATACGGCACCAAAATTGTGAGGCGCCAAAGGAAAAATGCCACCCAGGAGGCTCTGCGTAAAGGTGATGATGTGAAATTTGAGGAGTTTGTGGCATATCTCATTGACCCACACACCCAAAGAGAAGAGCCGTTCAATGAGCACTGGCAAACTGTCTACTCCCTCTGCCACCCCTGCCATATCCACTATGATCTTATAGGAAAATATGAGACACTTGAAGATGATTCCAATTACATCCTTCAACTTGCAGGAGTAGGCAGCTATCTGAAGTTCCCCACCTATGCAAAATCTACGAGAACTACTGATGAAATGACCACAGAGTTTTTCCAGAACATCAGCTCGGAACACCAAACACACCTATACGAAGTCTACAAACTTGATTTTTTAATGTTCAATTACTCAGTGCCAAGCTACCTGAAACTGGAATTAGAGGGAGGAGGAGGAGGAAAGAGAGCCTGTTTTATTTAAGATTTTTATTTGTCATAATAAATATGGAGAATTGTTATTTTGTAAATTAATATTTTCTTTTTGAATGATGCTGCGAGCAGCACAGTCGAAATTATTTAAATCATCTGTAAGAAAGGACAGTTCACAGGATAACAGGATCATTATGATCTCACTTTAGAAATGAATATTACTGCTACACTGTTTATAAACATTAATTGTGTTCTGGTGAATTTCATTTATCTTTGCATTCAACAAATTCTAATGTTATTTATAATTATTTAAAACATGGTCTCTTGGTAGGTTTCATTTTAGCAGCAGAAATACGATAATATTTGGACAAATTATCTGGTTTTGCACTTACCTAATCTGAATTTGTGTTGGTTATTAATGGCTTTTTATTAACCTTTCCCAAAATTAAATGGGGGGGAAATAATGGGATTGATTAGTGTTGCTAGCCATGTATTTTGGAAACCCTAGTAGAAATTTCTGCCAAGGTGATTCTGCACTTAGCAAAATTAGAAAGTTATCTTCCTATACCTGAAAGGAAAAATATGAAACACGTTTTGTTACACAAAACATTTAAAGTCCAGGACTAACAAGTTGAATGTATCCCTTGAAGAGAGAAATCATAAACATTTCTTATCTGGACATGGCCCTATCACCAATATCGCTTGTGTCCCAGTGCCTAGTATTTCCAACTTGCCAGCCCAATGAATGCTGATGAGGATTGGCGCAAATTACAAACAAATAAATATGGACTCAGATTCAAAACGAACTAGTGATTCTGAATGCCCAACCTGACCCAGCTTAACGGAGGCCTGATTTCAATGGGTGGATGCTTAACACTTTCTAAAAATTTAGGCCCTTTTAAAGGATCTCAAAATGTACACCCAAACTCACTAATCACTTCAGAAAATCTTGGCAATAAGACGTTTGTATATGCTATATATATATATATAGCATATACAAACGTCTTATTGCCAAGATAAGACTTACATATATATATGCATCCAAAAAGTTCATATTCATGTTGAGCTAAGCATAGAGGCAATAAAAGCACTCCTCTATTCTTAATAGATATTGGTTTCATGACCTCTCACCTCCGGGGTAGTTTTTTTTCCCCTATTTATTGGTTAGTATTTAAAAACCATTGGTGAGCGTGTTTCTAATTTCCAGTGGTTTAATATTACAACCTGAGTTAAGTCTCGTTTGAGAACATGACCCTTCTATGTAAGGTCAATGTATCAGTAGCCGTTCCTCTGTATATAATGTTTGTTGAGGTGGAATATTGTGCTGGGGGAGTAGTTTGTTCAAAACATTCTCCAGGTAACAAAAGAAACATATGGATCATTCTAATCTAGAACTATTTGCAACCTTTGTGAGAAGAATACAGTATTTTCCACCTGTAAGATTTATTTAATTTTAGCTGTTTGATGTAAATGGGATCCACAACTAAGCCAGCAGTGGGCATGCTATTTATGAACTACTACATACAAACTACCATATTGTCCTGACCTGAGGAGACAGCAGCGTGAACTAATTCTGTACAGTGCTTCACCACTTCCTTCTGGCTTATTTTCCTACCACTGAAAGGGGAACAGAGGAATTTGTCTGAAACAGGTGTTGATAACGTGCTTTTCACTTGGCAAAGTGACAGCCAAGATTATCACCATAAATGCTACAGATTTTCAAAATCGAAAGTTGCTTACAGATTTTGCAAACATTCATTGGACTGGGATTTTTGTTTTGCAAAAAACAAGGTGATAGGTTAAAAAAAATCTTTTCACGGTAATGCTTTTTTACTTTGAGTTGTCCATAGCCATCTCACTAGAATCAAATTACAATGTAATTGTAATGTTAGAAAAGTTGAGAGGAGGCAATAGGTAAAGCCGCTCTGCTTTTGACCCAATTTATGAATCTCTAGGCTAGACCTTGGAATTACATATGTTTATGTCCATCAGAACCCACACAGACATTGATTACTTTTAAAGAACTTAAAAGAAATAAGACTTGGTTTTATTCTGCAAAGCTACTGGTGGACAAAAATCTGTCAGGAGAAATAACATAGCTAACAAGAAGCACCTAACGTACTTTCACAGCTGAACTTTGGCCCTTATGAAAAGATGGCAACCCCCTGTTGTCAATTCTGAAATGGACATTTTATATATAAAACCTACATGCTATTTGGGAGCGATGGTAAGCTGTCTAAATTTAGTCAATTTATAAATTCCTAAGTGGTTTCTGATTGCCTATTAATTTTTTACTTGAAAGCAATTGTCTTGGATGGAGTGTGGGGTTCTGGTGTAAGTGCCTATCACAGTATGTGCCCTGTCTTTCTTTTATTATGTAGTTCAGTGGTTATATATTTGCTTTTTAAAAAACCCCACCTACACTGATGGTAGATTTGGTCTACAAATTATTTATAGGTTGTATCTGTTTGCTGAATGTGCCTGGCAGTGTTAATATTTTGATCTAACTTTCTCTTCATTCATCCATTAGATGTTTTCTCCCCTGCTCTGCAGGAAGTTTTTAAAATGGTCATGCAAGAAAAAATGCTGGTCAGTAAATATATAAAAACTAGGGGATGATGCACTTTCCCTGTGTCTTTTTATTCATCCCTTATTATCAGTTCCACCTGTTCTTAAATACTTTCATTTGGTTTGTGGACACATTTTATTTCATGGCTTTGGTAAAAAGCACTTGGAAAATGTGAAAATTGCAACATGTGCTATTACAACCAAGATTTTCAAAAGTGGCTGATGATTGGGATGCCAAAATTGAGGTGCTTCAAAGAAATCTGATCGCCGAGGGCACATGTCCAGCACTTTCTGAAAATCCTTATAAAGGTGTCTCAAATTGGGCATCCAAAATTGCTCATTGCTCTTGGTCCTAGATCCTCACAGGATGTTGATTTAAATATGGTGGAACAAATCTGAGAATATGAAGTATAGTTAAATATAAGCAAATTGACAAAATAGAATATGGTAATAGCCTGCTTGCTAATCTCCAAACTCTATGGAGGACTAACGGAGAGGATCTACTTTAAGCTTCAGTGTGTATTGATTAGACTGAGCTTTTTTTTTTTTTTTTTTTTTGCACCTGAACCCATACAGGAAGATCCTTAGAGCTGTAGTATCTCTATATTCAATCAGGCACCATCCTTTCACAATGAAAAGACTGGCTGAGAAATAAGATTTCTCTTTCTCCCAAGGTAAAAGATTGAGTCCAGCAGTGGAATTCAGATCATCCATATGGCAGAGCTAGAGCTGGGCCCCTGGCTTTGCCTAGCAACCATATATCTTGTCTCAAGAAGCCTTTTATCATAATGCCTATTAATTACTCCATAAAGGTATCAGTGGAAGTAGAGTCGTAGACTGTTCCGATCTGCTAAACACACAGCTAATATTTGTTTCTTAAGACCAATGCAAACTTCACAGAACAGAGGTTCTATGAGAATAGTTTGACTTCTATATTTGAGTAGGGGACGGGGGTAGTAGCAATTCCAGTTAGGCCAATGGGAACCATGTGTGTATTGAAGGGGGGTGAGGAGAGGATATGCCTGCCCAATGCTTGTAGTTTGGCAAGGGCCAAAGTGACCAGAGCTGAAAAATTAGAGTAACATTTTGTACTTAGTTTTTATAATCTCAAACAGTACACACAAATCCTGAAACCCTGGGTCTTCACACTCGGACAGTTTTTACCAGTGTTGCTAGAGTAATTTGTCCACAGTGGCTCTGCTGTGATCTTTTCTAGACTCCAAGCTATACTTCTTCCACATGAACTAGATGATATTTCATGGAGTTCACAGAAATGTGACTTTCTCCATGCTCCCTTCTAGCAAACATTTAAGAAACCTTTTCAGACTGTCTAACCAAGTCTTACACACTGCAATAGCAAAGTGCTTTTAGAATCAAATTGACCCCTGCTGTTTTAAGGTTAACTATAGTCTGCTGAACTTTTCAGGTACAAAAGGGACTGTCCTTACTATTACTCTTGTTACAGAGAGTGTTATTTTCTTACATGCATGCACAATCTATGTACATATAATTTAACATCGATGTGCGGTTTGATTTTTTTAACCTATTTGTATGCAGTAGAAGGCTTGTTGTAGAAAAGTATCTCCTCATATCTGAATATACTATTAATAAAAGAGAAAAAAAAGCTAACTTATGCATTGCCAACAAAAGTGTGAACTGCTCACAAATCTTTCTCTGAAGAGAAAAAAAAGCCATTCAAGCCTGATTATTTTTCTAAGTAACTTCAATTAAATTGAAGAAAGAGTTTCTCTGTGTGTTTTATTTCTGTCTTGCATTCTAATACACATTAGGGTGGTGTTTTTAAAAGCAGAAACTTTATTGAGGTAAGCAACAGATTTTATAAGATGCTAATGCCAGACGAGACCATTATGCTCATCTAATTAGATCTCTTGCATAATAGGCTACAGATCCACGCACTAATTCCTGAATCAACCCCATAACTTGTGTTTGAGCTACAGCCACTGTTTTAGATAGAGCTGCAGACTTGCCTTCCAGATTTGCAAGTAAATTCTAGGCCATTCCCAACAGCAGCCCTGTTTTCCAGGCTGGAGGCCAAGCTATCAGGAATACTGTGAAGGTAGCTCCTACAAGGGGGAAAGAGCAGGACCGCAATGCTTTTGACCCCAAGTTCTGAAATGGCATTATAGAGGATCAGTATTAAATGGCCCAGTTCTCAGTTTCAGTGAGTCCTCTTGCACCACTCTGTAAGTGTAAAGAAAAATCAGTAGAAGTTTCTAAAGATCTTTGTGAATCCCACCCCTAGGAGAGCTGTACTAGTATGCTTCTGGTAAAGTACTCTAGGTGAATGAAGCTTTAATCCACTTCCCTCATCTCCATCCCACCATCTTTTCTATCCCACCTTAAAAAAACCAAGTTGTACTCCTAAATGCCCTGTTTGGCCAACACTAACAGCAGCCACACTGGACCCTCTTGCTGACAGCTGGATTGGTCATAGATCAGACCCTGACTGATATAGCTATGCCACTGAAAATGTATGTTGTAGATGTGGCCTTAGTCTAAATCAGAAAGAGGCCCTAGGGATATAAAGCAGTGGGGGAAAAAAATTGGAAGGGGATAAGAGTCCTGACATTCCAACCAAACCACAGGGTTTCTAGCTGAACAATCCAAAGGCACACAATGAACAAAAACTCCAAAAGGAAACATTTAACAGAAACCCTGAAGACTAACATTTCAGCTAGAGTTAGCTAATTTCTTGGGCCTAGTTTTCTTCTATAGCATGTGCCACTGAGGGGACAGATTATATGCTAAAAATCCTGTGCCAGCAGCCCCAAAGTAAAGCCTCCTGAAACAATATATTTGAGAGAGTGTGCAGTGACATACAATTAAACTTCTCCCTGGGTATGTCTACACTGTAATTAAAAACCTGGGGCTGGCCCTTTCCAGCTGGCTCAGGCTGTGGAGCTACTGCAGTGTAGACTTCTAGGTTTGGCTAGACCCTGAATTGTAGAAACCTGTAAAGTGCGAGGGCCCCAGACCCTGAGCTTCATCCCAAGCCCAGAAGTCTACATAGCAAATGAAATCACTCACCCCCCGCTGGCCCCTGAGTCAGCGGACAAAAGCCTGCCGCATGTGGCTAACTGCAGTGTAGACAAAACAAAAAACAGGACGATGTAGCACTTTAAAGACTAACAAGATGGTTTATTAGGTGATGAGCTTTTGTGGGCCAGACCCTCTTCCTCAGATCAAATTGTGAAAGAAAATTGGCATAACCATATATAACAAAGGGATACAATCAAAAAAAAATGAACACATGAAAAGGACAAATCAAATTTCAGAACAGAAAGGGGATGGGGGGGGAGGTAAATGCTTGTGAACTAATATTAGAGGTGATAATTGGGGAAGCTCTCTTTGTAATGGGTAACAATCAATGAGACAGAAACCACAAATGGACATTAAGCATGCATATTTCTTTGCTTCATTAAACATATCAGCTATGTGAACATTTCAGAACACTCTACAGCTACACTGTATGCAGAGGGCTCACTTCGCCCACACTGCCTTAAATTTCTCTCTTCAGGGAAAAGCAGTATCTGTCCAACAGCACATAGAAAAACTGCATAATATACTTTCAGCTAGTGTTAATAAATTCCATACATCAACTTTGTGACATCCTCTTCAGGGGAGGGGGACATTTCAATGTTGAAATATATTGGCATCAACCTAAGGTATGGCAAATTTTCACCAGAAATTCCACTAAGCCTCTTGACAAAGTGTGGATGGATCAATCCCTTCAGCTGCAGCAATTCTCCAACATTCTCACTAGTATCCTTATATAGTTGTATAAAGTTAACTGACTCCCCCAAACTTATTCTCCAAATTCCTTCTCTAATATCAAAGGGTCTGGCCACTGAATGGAAGCCAGCAACATCAGCTCAGATTACAAAGACAGTATATGCATCTAATGTCTGGGCTCAGTGCCACGCTACAGCTATACAACAGGCAGGATTGGCAGACCCAGATCAGAAATAACAAATGCACGCACCCCTCACCCTCACCCTGCTTTATCTCACCTCACTTAAAGCAGTAATAAAGGTTGACCCGCTCTAATCCAGCACCCTCAGGACCTGCCAAGTGCCAAATCAAAGAATTTGCAGAAGCATGGGAGGTCGATATTTTTTGTAGCAAGTAGGTCTCTTTTCATTTGTATTTCGCTAAGGTGAATAAACAGAAGAGCACTTGCAGTGCTGCTTAGTACCATAAGCCTTCACCTAGCCAAGGGTAATTAGCTCTCTTCATAACAACATGTTATTTCACAATTGTTACACAATTTTACTGTATTGGCACAAGGAAATACATACAACATAAAAATATACTTACTTTTAACAGCATTACCAACACTTCCACTGCATGCTGGGCTCTTAGGAGACATGTAAGGCTAAATTAAATCTAACTAACAGCACACAACACAGAGCCAGGAGTGGTGGCTATAAACTACCATTAAAGGACCACAGGCAACTTAGCCGGATGTATACCTCTGATGGGTGTGGTCAACTAAAATCATGCCGGATCACAGATGTTGCCGGACTAGAGAGGTTCAACTTGTATGATCCTATTAAACATTTCTAACCTTACTGAACTAGTAGAAGTGTTTTCATTACAAGTTCCTGTTAAGAATAAATCCAACACAAATAGCCCTGCACACCTGTGGCTGGACTACACTAAGGGTTGTCAATAAAGTCTATTGCAGGCAGATATAGACTGAGTTCCCTACCTCAGTCACCTCAGCTATAGTGTACTTCCTTCCCAATTTAGTTTGCGGACATTCCACTGAGGAGGAGCTCTGAAATGTATTAACATTTTACATTTTTATAGAGCATCACTCAGCCTAAAGATTCTCAAAGTATGTTTCCGTCTGATCCCACTGGCAAAACTCTCCAGCTTCATTAACAGTGGGCCCAGGTCCTGTATTTATAGAATTGCTAATGCCACCACTAAAATAAAACTATTCCTGAGGTGAAACACAGCAGCTGTTTAGGAGCATAAGGCACCACAACACCCACTTTTAGAGCAAACAATGAAGAACACTATTTCCTATTGAAAGTGCTTGGGGAGTTTAGGTGAACAGAAAAGAAAAACGGTTACTGACCTTTCGTAACTATTGTTCTTTAAGAGGTGTTGCACGTGTCCATTCCACTCATGACATGTGTGTCCTGCTCAAAGTTGCCAGAAAGGTTTTTCCCTGCAGTGCTAAGTGCTCAAGTGCCATCTGCTGCTACTGGCATTGACATAAAGCAGTGTTTTTCAACCAGTGGTACGGGAACCTTTAGGGGTACTTGAGAGAAGTCTGGGGGGGTACATCAACACAACTGAAATTTGGAGAAAACTGAATTTTTGTTTTAAGTTTTACAGTGCTTTATTATTTTTGTACCAAAATTTCATCGCCCACCCTGCTACGATTAAGTTGTTTAAACAAATGTGTTGCAACGGTAGAAAAAATTTATGTGTCTAAAAACTGCAGGTACTGGGGTTTCTTTTTTTTAAAAAAAGGGGTACTTTATTTAAAAAAAAATTTGAGAAACACTGACATAAAGGACCCAGCCAACCCTGAGT